AGTCTCATTGAGATTCAGAATCTCATTTCCAAGAGAGAACTGTTATAAGACAAAAATTACAAAACACAAGTAGTTACACAAAAAAAGAATAAAAATAAAATAAAATAAATAAAAAATGGACACAAATAAATAATCTAATATTTTCCAATTAAACCATTTACAGAGTGTCAGTGACTCTGACAGGTTTAAACAAGTAAAAATTGTCTCTAAATGATAATAATGGCAACCAAAGAAAAGTAGGCGGAGCCAATGGCACAGAAATATTCWCTTTCTGACATAAGAAACTTTTTAAAATCTTATCTAAGTGAGTTTTCTCACCTGTGTGTGTCCTTTGGTGTGCCTTCAGATGAGAGCTCTTTGTGTAAACTTTGCTGCAGCCTGAGAGGAAAGAGAGAAGAAGAGGATGATGATGATGAGGAGGAGGCGGAGCCAGGAGGAGCAGAAACACACACCACTTTCTCACTTTCAGGCTGTGATTGATGGGGCTCCAAACCTCACACCTGCAGATTTTAATGTTTAATAAAAAGAACTACGAAGAGTTCAACCTTTCTGAAAGTCCCATCAGTGCAAAGCTCCTAAAATATTTGGAGAGTAAATGATTTTAGGCTTCAGGCTCCATTTCTGCACCAAATTTTAGCTCGTGTGTTAAAATGACTGAGTTTGAGCCATGTTTCTGGCTGCCATCTTTAATCATGTTGGTTGTTTATTTAATGAAATGGTTGCTGCAGGTTCCTGTGGTTCATGAGGTACTGTAGTTTGCTAACAGACACATCAACCAACCACAGTGAGATTTAGAAGCAGAAATCCCAGAGGAGTTCTGTTGGTTTAGGTTGATTGTTCATGTGTTCTGCWGGTGATGTTGGGCTGGAAGCATCATCTAAACCTGCTCCAAGCAAACAGCATTAAAGGACAAAACTGTTCGGTTCTCCAGGAGATGTATTTTCTAATTAGGAAAATTCAAATAATAAAACACGAAGCCGCTTGTTTTCTGCGGCTCCTGATGTTCTGAGTTATTTACATCACAACTGAATAAAACACATCTCAAGAACTGATGGAGGAGTTTTATTTGGCCCAGTTTTATGTGATTCAGACAGATTTTGAACCTGGAGCTGTTTTCTTCCCATTTCATCACATCCTCAGACATTTCCTCTGAACTGTGGGAGAAGATCCGACCACACGTTGGACAGTGAGACGACAACAACTACACTCAAACATCAGGGCTTTAACAAATCCCTGTTTGGTTCATTCTCTTTATTTGTTTCACAATAAAAGAGAAAAATAAATCAATTTGTTTTACTGAATCAGAAAAAAAAACAATTTCAAAATTTAAAGAGCCTACGGTTTTTCATTTTAATTGTTAAAGCTTTATACCTTTATATTTTGTTAGTGCGCTTTTTGTTACTTTATGGCAGAACACCTGGAGCGTTACGTTTTCAYTTCGAACTTTAGAGACAGCCTTATTTAGAAGGAGTCGACACATCTAGAGAGCTACTTTAATGTGAACAAATTTGCTTTAATATTCAAAGGTACAGAATCAGGTTTGAGTGCAGAAACTGTCAATTTCTTTAGAATAAGTTCCTGTTTTTAGCAGTTTTCTTGCAGCAACTATAAACTCTTATTCTTTGGTGATKTCTATCATCACCAGTACATATTAAAAACAGAAAACATATTTTGTCTTTTGGATTTAAATACCTAAAGCAAATCTCAAACACTGGATTTTTTATTAGCTTGATTTTACATTATTACTTTTAGGTTTTGAAAACAGAAAAAAACAAAAACCAAACAAACAAAAACATGGTTGGTTTTTTTGCAATTTATTTTGAAATTGAAAAACCAAGGAGCGGAACATGCACAGATTTTAACGTGTCACTATGTTAGAAACAAATGCTAAATCCTTTTTTTTAAATATTAATTAATTAATTTATTTATTTTTAAAGGATATTAACTCTTTCAGAAGCAGAAACAACCACYTCTGCTGGTGGAAAAGTTGCAGAAGTATAAATGTGGGATAAATCAGGAGTCGTAAACAAAAAGACTAAAATCTCTTAACATTAAAAAATAAAAATAAAACTATTATTTATGCTTTTTCTCCTTTACTTTCTTGTGTATAAATGTGACCCCAGAGTTGATTATTTCCTGACAAAGTGTCAGAACAGAAATGCTGCATCTGGAAAGATAAATACTTCCTGGATATTKATTTGAAGCAGTGATGAACTTACAGCACCGTCCTGCTCTGAGCTTTATRTTTACTTTATACTTAAAGGATAAAACCTTTAATAAATAATTTCTTTATTTTCCTGTTGTGCCAGCTGGCTGCTTGTTTTATAAAAACATCTGACTGGTCCAGATGTTCCACCCCATCCAGTCCCGCTCACCTGGGTAGTCACAGAAGTGGATCCTCCTCTTCTCCAGCTCCGGGTTGTTCCGCCGGTTATATTTGGGTCCGGTCAGGACCCCCTGGCCGTGCGTCATGAGGAGGGCGTGAGGAGACAAGCCGGTCACCTTCATCCCCTCCAGGCGCTGCTGGTACGGAGGCGGGGCCTGCGAGGCCAGGTTCAGCAGCTTGGCCTGGCCGTCGGGGCTCCCGGGCTGGGAGTTGGGCGGTGACGGCGGCAGGCTGTGGGGGGCCGTGTGCTGCGCCGCGGCGCTCTGCTGGACCTGATAGTAGGCGTCGTGCTGCTGAGCCTGCAGCTGGGGCTCGGGGATCAGGTAACTGCCGGGGGTCGTGGGCAGAGAGCCGGCGCCGAGGGTCAGCATGGTTCTGCCGGTGGCGGAGCCCGGCACCGACGGGCTGCTGTGGGACAGGCTCAGGGGGAGGTCCGAGCTGGAGATGGGCATGTGGTAGACCTGCGGCTGGGGAGGCGGGGGTCCGATGTGGAGCTCCGTGTCCAAACTGGTCTGCTGCTGCTGAGCGGCGACGCTCCGTCCTTCAGGACTCATCTCGGGTTTGATGAAAACGCTGTTGACCGCAGGCGGCACGCTGAACACCGAGGTGAAGTCCGGCAGGGCCTGGGTGCCGGCCGGGAGGGAACAGGGCACCTCCAGGCCCGGCTCGGTCTTAATCTGCTGCGGCGTGAGGGTCTGGGGGTGGGTGGGCCTGTAGAGGCCCGTGCGCAGGTGAGTTGTGTTGGGGAGGATGAGGTTGATGTTGAACGTGTACGGAGCTACAGGTTTGTCCTCGGAGAAGTACTCGTCCACCACCGATGCGCTCTCTCGCCGGCACTTCTTGTCCAGGTCAGAGGAATCTGGCAGGAGGGGGCTGCTGACCTGGGGGAGGTATTTGTCCAACTCTAGATGAGCCTGAAAAGATAACGATGGTAAATTTTAATTTCACAGAAACAGAAGGATGCATTTTCCTCCACAGTATTTGTTGAGGCATGGTGATATTTCAAATATCTAAAACTGTACGGAGCGCTATGAGGGCCAAAATTAAGACTACTGCGCAACCAGTTGGTAGGATTATAAATAAACAAAAGCAGTCAATGCATCAGCAGCTCCACACGAGATGATGCAACAAAACTAATTCATAAAKAACYARACATTRAGGAAGAGCAGYTTYCACCAYCATCATCATCATCATCATCATCTCTCCACATTCCTGTTTTCCTGACAAACAGCCAGGAGGAGGATTAGGAGGCGAGGAGGGAATTCACCTGCAGTTAACTTTTCTGTTCCCTCCGGGGGTGGGT